TATTATATATATATATATACCAGCTTTCAGTTAATAGATTATAATTGAGACAAACTTGAAAGTTGTGACTTTCTAGTAATTAGAAAATTCCATCTTTCCCTCCGTTTTAAACAGTATTCACTCGCAGGACGCATGTTTTTAAATGAAACTTTAATTACGGAGATATCACGATGTACAGCTCGTTAAGAATTTATCATACGTGTACTATAAGAGGCAACGCGGTAGCGTTTGAACGTGATGTAGCGTAATACGTTGTTAACGATCGATACGTAATGTTCCCCGATCACGCGGACTAAAGATCGTTGAACTTGGTGAGTGTAGCAATAGCCTGAAACGATGTTTCGTGGGTTGAACGGTTTTTCTAACGAGGATGCGTAAAAGCAGAAACTGGTCTTCCCTAAGGCAAATAACGCGGGATGTAGGTAAGTAGCGTGTAAATGTTAGCGCAGCGAACGAGTGCAATGCTAATAGTCCGTGTTAAAACGTTCGGCTATGTGGGATGGTTTGTTGTTCCGTTAATCAACAATTCAATCTTCTTCTTTTTTTTGCTTAGACAGAAAAGTAATTACAGGGAAATTTGTTAGAAACGGGGATACAGGTTGTTACAAGAAAGAGTTAATAAATTTGTAATCAGTACTATTGGTGAGTCTAGATACTTACTAACACCACTGTCACCACCACCATAACTCCAATCGCAATTTTCCTCGTGATAGAACTGTACCGACTTCTGGTGTATCGATCACTGCGATAGGAATAAAGTCCAAGTTGAGACGTACTAATCGCTGTCCTTCGTCCCGTCTCGAGCATGTCCTCTCGTCGAATTAGGCTTCCTTTATCCTTTACGATTACTCGTCAGCGCCGTTTTGGCATTTTATCGTCGATCGATATTTCCCTTGGTGCACTCAGGGATTCTTTACGATCAAACCACGATCTTTTTTCATCGATGCAAGGTAAAAGTAACGAAGAACGTTACGCGAGATAAATCTACCGTGATAAATAAATGAAATAGAACGTCGGTCGTTGTATCGTGAATATACAACAGTTTGTATAGCGGTTAATTAAAATCGACGTGGTCGTGCAGGAACGTATATAACACCGATGAGAACCCCGTTGATTAATAACCGCTGATCGATCTTGAGTGAACGGACAAATGGGTTTTGCAAATGCCGTGTCGCAAGAACAGCAACGAGACGGTATTCTTTCGAAGCTCCATATACAACTAACGAGCACTCATTTCTCGCAACACAGTTTTCACTGGTCGGATTCTATCATGAACGTAGAAAATTTCTTTGTACGTGGGGGAGGCTCGTTATGGTAGTAGGAGGCAGGTTATGGGCTACTTACTACGCCATGAGGCTCGAGTCAAATATTAGATACGAAGAGTGGAATGTCAATGTCGTTGTTTCACGCTGACCGGCTCGACAAATGAACCATAATCGTCATTTCGTGGTTTTTGCGTATTTCGCGGTAATTAAACGTTTCTCTTGGAAGGACGGTAAAGGATCGTCGATCGGTTGCGAAGTATCTTCGATTTGTATCGTTTGTTTGGACAGCTTATTCGGGACCCCCGAGTGTTATACAAAGGCATATTTCGTAATCGTTAATATTCATGAGGACGTCGTGGGCGAAAAGGTGACGCTTCAGACCCCCCTGGCGAATCAGGTGTTTGACACTTCACTTTCATTCGCGTTCTCTTGATGAATTTCTTCGGAGAACGTAGCGGTGGAAATATCAAGAGTACAATGGACATTCTCTGTTCAACTTGTCACGGATAATTTTGAAATATTCGATCGTATTAAGTGAAACATAACACATGTTGTATTTGATACAAATTTTATTTCTTCTATCGTACGCGTGTGTTACACATGAAAAATAGTAAATCTCCGTTCACATCTTACTACTGTAATTTCTGTGCTTTCTCCTTCGTTCTTGTATTATTCACATTTGTCTCTGGATACGCGTCATTTAACGAGTGCACACAAATTGTAACACGGTACAATCGACAATTCCGATGTACGATCGTCGGAGAATTATTTCACATCGCGGGTTTATTCCACTACATTTACAATATTTATATACTTAGGTACACGCTGAAAAGGATCCAGCTACCTTGCACCTATGTCTCCCTCATTTTTTTTTTCCGATTATTCGTCGTTCTCCCTATGGTGATCCATAAATAGCTTTCTATACTATACATATAAAAATTACAAAAGAAGAGCAGAAAAGTAGTCCGCGGCTTTCAGTTTAAGCTGAGCCGCTCATCGAACGAAAGGCGGCAGTTCGAATGGATTCTCCGGGATTGGGTAGAAGTACCCTGTTGGCCTCTTCGTTGTTGGCGGCAAAGTGGGTGGAGGGACGGGTTTACCAGTTGGCGGTGGTGTGTAGATAGTCGACGTGGGAACGAGGGTGTAGTGCGGCGTGGGAGGAGGTGGTGGTGTCACCGTGACACGCGGAGTGCTGGGAGTAGAGGGAGGAAGGTACGGCGGAGCTCTCGTGCCTGGTCCGATAGATGGGAAAGTGGGCACTTCGGGAAATGTGCTAGGCCTTCGAGTGGTGGTGAAGAAAGGTGTACTGTGGGAAGGTATGGGTCCTGGAGTTGTGTACGTAGAGTGCGTTGGATATCCACTGGTGGGTGTGGTGTAGGATGGTATATGTCCTGGAGTGGTGTACGTAGAGTGCGTTGGATATACACTGGATGGTGTTACAGGTGGTAGGTAAGTGTTAGGCTGCGTTGATGG